AAATACAGTATATATACGTACATATGTATCTATATATCTAAGTTTAAAAGGAAAAGGAAAATATTGGGGTAAATACATATAATCATTAACAGTGTTAAGTAGTTGTCTGTTAACAGGCAACCTATTTCTAAGAGACCCATCTGATCTCATAAAGAACGGACTTTCTTACTAATGTAAGGCACTGAACTTAATGAATTTAGAGTTTCACTGAAAAAAATGATCAAGAGACTTGCTGATCTGTTTAAGGAAGTAAAGCTATTTAGATTCAAACTGAACATGTAGACTGAGTCGGCTACAAACATAAACTGCATTCGTTTCCCACTGCTGCACTGTTCTGAACTTTGCAAAATTGGAAGACTTGAAGCCACATTAACAGACGCACAGATGTCAGGAGTATGCAGCCTGCTCTAAGTTTTTTATGGTTATCTTTATTGCTTAATGCTTCATTAAGCATTTTCCCTATCAATGTGGCTCAACTACGAAGTGCTCTTCACTGATTTGAAATACAAACCAGGTTCACCAAAGGAGACAGTATTCCTTAAACTGGGAAGTTGAGGACTTAAGTACCAGAGCTGTCCTGAAAATCTTTGCACAAGCTCTGAGTAAGATTTGAGCTCAGCTAGCTCTATGAAAGTGCATTCTCTTTGATAAAAACTGCTAAAGAGAAGCATCGCTTACGGCATAAACGTGGAGTAAAAATCAAACTGGAGACCTGTTCTGATAATATACCCCACAGTTCTCCAGATTGCTTCCTGCTGTTCAATTCCAATATTTACTGGTTTGGTCAGATTTGACCAGTTACTTTTATATCAAAAGGGACTGCCATACTGTTTTTGAAGGGCTTTTTTCATAATACTATAGATTTATATTTTTGAATTATTAATAGGTTATGCTTATCTATAAAATGGTAATATAATGTGTACATAAATAAGTTTCTGGCCACCAACGAAAAATTTTAGCTACTCTTGCTCTATATACCAACATCAGAACAGATAACCAGACATTATCCACAAAAACAATGTCTTTCATTTCCTGAAGAAATGCCTTCCCCAACAAATATTTAACATTATGCTCTAGAAGAAAGGAAGATGTGAGTCATAAAACATACTTGTATCACCAAAAGAACAAGATTCCTTGCTGCTTGTGCTCTTTCTTTTCTGGTGGTCCTGTACTCACCATTAACCAACCCCACCCTTTGTCCAGGGTTGTTATATACATAAATACAAGTTAATTGCTTTAGGCACATTATCATTTTAAGTTAAAAATCTGAGAAGTAGCAAGTGTTAAATTCAATTTTCCTGTATCCAAATAATTATTACTGAGCACCCACTAGCAGAAAGGCTCTCTGCTAAGGGCCAGGGACACAGTCCCTGCTCACCAAGAGCTCCAGCACCTATCTACTGGGGAAGACCGACCAGTAAAAACGTGTATTTCAGCGTGGATGAGAGCTATGAAGAAGGCACTGACAAAATGAAGAGATATTTTAGGGGGTGTATGCACTCCTTTGCTGGAATGGAAGAAAAGGGAAAACGAGTGGGCAAGGAAGAAAGAGGAAAATCTCCGTCAAGCATCAATAGACGTACAATTTAACTAACTGAAAAAATAACCAAATTTTTACAACTAAGTCTACTCTAAAAAAAGAAAGAAAAATTAAGATGATTATCTGGACCACTTACCTCTTATCTCAATTACTTGGGTATTATAAATGAAGAAGTCTCTTCATTTATAAAAAAGAACTTACCTTGTTTTAAAACCAAAGCACCTAACAGAAGGCTCTTAGCAACATAAATAAGTTCCGGCACACGATGAATTGGCCTTGAAACAAATCAGCAGGTTAAATCCTTGTTAAGAAAAAAAGCAGTAGGAACTAGAAAAACATATTTTCACTGGCCTACTTAGCAAAGTCGATACTTAGTGTAGATAATTTTTTGACCGCTCCTTCCTCTATATGACAAAATTACTTTCCAGTAATAATTGCAATCATTATTGTTCTTTAAATCCCTCTTGAGAGCCACCCGCTCCCCGACCCCGCGATCTGTGCCGCCCTCCGCTCTTGATGGGGGCATCCGGGCAGCACTGGAGGGCCCGGGTCAGGCACACGCGTCCCAAGCGCTGAGTCAAGGGACAGCCCCGCCGCGAGCGCCAGTGAAGGTCTGCGTTCGCGCCACAAGTACCCCCATTTCCGACGGAGCCTGACATTAAATATCAAATATAAAAACACTTTGACAGGTCAAGAGAGAGACCTCCGAGAAAAGGAAAAGCTTTTTTCTGTTTTTTGAATAACAGGTCCCACATTTTTATTTGTAAAAGGAAATTAAATTTCCCTTTTAAAGTTATTATTCAAACTCAATGAAGTATTTCATGTATGAACTAAAATTGGCATTTACCAAACAAAAACATTACCCCTCATAGTTTGCACTGTTTCACTATTACAAATTTTCCACTCAAATAAAAACTCCAAGTGGCCACATAGAACGACAGGATTTCAATAACTCAATTTCTAGTTCTTTGTCTTTATAATCACAGCGTTACCATTGTTTATTTTTAAAACTGTTTAAACTCATAAAGAGATAATGTTTTTAAAGGACAACCATAAAAAGTGCTAATTGGAACCTCACATATTATGAAAACTCAATAATAACCACAGAAATTGTTTAGAATTTAAAGAAACAAAAGAGTTCTTTGAGGAAAATTAGTTTATCACTGAAGTTGTTCAGAATAGCTGGCATATGGTGATAATAAAAAGTAGACCAACTTTTAGTTGGTTTTATTATTTTTATAAATTTCTAGAGATAATGCACCTTTTAATGACTGCACTGAGGGCAGAATGCTCCAGTCGCTTCACCCTCGCTATGCTACTGCAGAGTTTTTAATCCACAGTTAGCACAGTCATAAGAACATCCCTGCTTTTATGGGATATGTGTTTATACGTTTATGTACAGGGCCAGCTGCAGGCGCCTGCGACCAGAACAGTCACACAGGGTCCCACGCTCAGAAAAGGGCACCATGCTTGTTTAGTGTTCTGCTGCTGCTGTGAAATTCTTAACAATTTTATCTTTGAAATTGTGTTTTTTTAAATGAAGTCAGAGCATGTGCAGGATGGCAGCTTGGAGCCTAGACTTACACGTGGTCCTGTCTCCCGCTGCTCTCCTGAGAGTCACCTGCTCCCTGACCCCGCGATCTCGGTCGCCCTCCGATCTTGATGGGGGCATCCGGGTGGCACTGGGAGGGTCCGGGTCAGGCACACGCGCCCCAAGCGCTGACTCAAGGGGGCAGCCCCGCCCGCGCGCTCGAGTGAAGATCTACATTCGCGCCACAAGTACCCCTATTCCCGATGGAGCCTGACATTAAATATCAAATACAAAAGCACTTTGACAGGTCCAGAGTCAGTGAGACCTCCGAAAAAAGGAAAAGCTTTTTCTATTTTTTGAACAGGTCCCGCATTTTTATTTTGCACTGCGACCTCCAAGTCATGTAGCCATCCCTTCTTATGTATGGAGGTGAGTGTATGCGTGTGTATCTTTGTATGTATTGATAAATATAATATTTTAAATTATATTTTATAGACAAAATAAATTTATAATTTTATAATTTCAAGATAAATAAATTTGTATAACTTTATATATATATATATACACATATATAGATAGATGATAGTAATTTTATCAGTTTACAGATCAGCGAAGGCATTCTAATACAATATTATCTTCGGAGTTCCTTGTGATCGATGAATTACCTTGAAATATCTTTAACTAAGAATATCATATGCTAAAAATGAGGATACTGTAGCTTTAAAAGCAGGGCGCGACATTACTAATACGTTCCTCTTATTAACAAAATCTGCTTTACAACTTTGATTTCTTGACAGGCAGATTTTTGGTCAGGAGCCAAAGTTGTCAAATATTAAGACTATGGAGATTCATCAATTGTGTTGAAGGATCCTCAAAAATCAACTAATTTCAGCACGTTTCAATTATTCACATGCTTTTACTGAACTATCCTAAATTGTCAATTTCATACTCAAAAAGTCATATCCTTTATAACTAATAATTCTCAAACCATACCTTCATCAGGCAGATGAACAAAATATTCCTATTATAAATCTTTCATTTTGTTTTGCTCTTTTAAGGAGGCTTCATGATTAATATATAGTTCACGATGTCATAAGTTTTCCTTCATTTTATAAATGGCACCAAAACTTGAGTGTAAGAATAGTATAGACACTCCATAGACGGATGGATGGAGACATAATTTTTAATAAAACCAAAATGACCTTAAAACACCTATTTGCCCTAAACTTAAGTAGCATTTCCAGTGTTTCTGAGAGACAATTAAAACTGCAGAAAATCTACTGACTATGTCACATCTGATAAAGGTTAAAAACTGTCCAAACTGCACTGGCTCTTTACACCTTCAAAAATAGTCCAGGATCCAGGCAGAATTGACCTTTATCTGATACTAACCAAACCAAACCTGTCTGCCTTCAAGTCGATTCTGACTCATAGTGACCCTACAGGGCAGAGCAGAACTGCCTCATCGGGTTTCCAAGGAGCACCTGGTGGATTCAAACTACTGACCTTTTGGTTAGCAGCTGTAGCTCTTAACCACTATGCCACCAGAGTTTCCTTAGCCAATATAAGCTATATTGAAACTTCTCATGCCCTTTAAATATTCACCACCTTAACCCTAAGCAACTATCCCTTTCTTTCATCCTCTTTTTATTATTTAAATTGACACACAACCCTAGTTTACTGTCTACAATCCTGACTCCTTTCAACTAATATTCTGACACTTTCTCAAACAAAATGATCACATGCAAATACCACTTTGGTTCTGAATCCATTCCAAGAGACGCCTATCTCAAAGCTGTTCCCTAGTAAGCAGCCCAAGCAGAACCCATTCAGAAAGCCAAGCCACTTGGATCACCTACAGAAGGCACCTCAGCACATACTCAAAGTACAAAAAAAAAGGCAGGCAGGAAGAAAAACCCAGTCACCTACATTGTTCATATACTCTGAAAGCAGGTCCTGAAGAGCCTGGCGAATCGCGTTGCATTCTGCAATGATTCGCTCCCGATGAAAATCCCTTGTGCACGAGGAGTCCGCTAACAGAGCTGCCCCACTGATAATGGCTTCTAGGCGTTTCTCTAGTGATGGTCTTATTTCCTCCTCAGTCACTGTGAGTGGATCCAAGACAATTAAAGTCTAAGGGAAAAACACATTTGGATGGTTAGAACTGCATGGAATTCTATAGTTATGACAAATATTTTGTTTTCACTTTTGTTAGTAAGAGAATAGCATTTCCACTGCATCATCCATTCACTCATAATCTTATGTAGTAATTATTGTTCAGGTAAGTGAGGATAGTCATGCAATTATGAGCATCAGCTCTAGTATCAGACAGACTGTATTTAAACCTTGCCTTTCCCACTCACCAAAAACGTGAGTTCACCCAAGGGTCTTACACTCTGAGCCTCACCTTCCTCATCCGTAAAACTGGTATACTGATGTTACCTATCACATAAGACAGTTGTGAGAATGATATGAATGTGTAATATAGTGCCTGGCACATACTATTATTTACAACAGTAACCTTTATATGGGACTTCACTGTTTACACAATAGTTTCACATATATCATCTAATTCTGACAACAAGACAAGGATGTGGACAGTAAAGGTACTTTTCACCCCATTTTTCATTTGATGATGAGTGAGGCTGAGAGACTCATACCTAAGGTGACTTACCCAAGGTCACAGAGCAAGTAAACAATAAAGTTCAGATAAGTATCCAAGTTTTATAATACCTAATTCAGTATTATTTTCATAATGTCATGTCGAAAATAAACTCCAATTAGCCTTAAAAACAGTAACATAAAGAAAATCCTGAATTTTAATTATTCATTTAAAAAATAAAAAATCCACCTTCCTGTTGGTCTATTACAATTTTCAGCTATTTCCAGCTACAGGAACCTAATATTTTTAAGGTTTCCATTACATATAGGTCTTCAAGACAACAGAAGTCAAGATAATCTACAGCCTCTGAAGAAAAGAGGAGGATATGCTGCTCTTGGAGTCCTTTATTAAAATACATCAAGAGAAGGAAGCCTTTTCACAGTTACAGAAACGACTTAGACATCAGGATTGAACTACTGGGCTTGAAGGCTAAGAACCTTAGTCTCAGAGGACATCTAAGTCAATTGGCAAAACAAGTTCATAAAGATAATGTTCTACATCCTAGTGTGGTGGGTAGCATCTGGGGTCTTGAAAGCTTGTGAGCAGTCATCTAAGAAGCAACTGTTGGTCTCTTCCTGCCTGGATCAAAGAAGAATGAAGAAAAACAAAGACTCAAGGAAGCAATTAGTCCAAAAGACTAATGGCTCACATGAACAACAGCCTCCTCTAACCTGAGACCAGAAGAACTAGATGGTGCCCAGCTATCACTACCAACCACTCTGACTGGGACCACAACAGAAGGTCCTGGTTAGAATGGGTAGGAAATATAGAACTAAATTCAAATTTGAAAAAAAAAAAAAAAAAACTAGACTTACTGGTCTGATACAGACTGGAGGAACCCCTAAGACTATTGTCCTAAGACAACCTTCTAACTTGAAACTGAAGACACTCCTAGAGGCCACCTTTCAGCCAAATAACAGACAGGCCTAATAAAATAAGCAATAACACCGTGAGGAATGTACTCCTTAGAACAATCAACTACATGAGACCAGAAGGGCAACATTTACCCAAAACCAAAGATGAGAGGGCAAGAAGGGACAAGAAAACCCAGACGAATGGAAATGGGCAACCCAGGGAGGAAACGGGGAGAGCGCTGACAAATTGCGGGGATTGCAACCTATGTCACGGAACAATTTGTATATGAATTATTGAGTGGAAAATTAATTTGCTATGTAAACTTCCACCTAAAGCACAATAAAATTTAAAAAAAAAAGAGAGAGAGAGAAGAAGACTTTTCAAGGCTTAGGGAGAACACAGTAATTGGAGAAAGAATATCAAATGAAAGCTCTCTGAAGAACACTTAACGTAAAATAAAATCTTATAATGTCATCAGAGTGTGTGTGTATGCATGCACGTGTGTGCACACATACTTATTACAAGATCTTTAGAGTGGGTAATCATAAGATTTTATATTTATTTATTACATTGATCATTGCAATACATTACGATAAATATTTGCGAGTCAAAAGTAGCCAGGATAAGATTTTAAAAGCTATATATCTAGGGCCAAGCTAGGAAGGGAATATCAATTACAGAAAAAGAAGTAATTTTAAAACAATTGGGAAAAAAATAAAAATTAGTACTGTACTGGGCAATGGTCATATAAACTATAAACTTGAAAATAGATTTGATATAAAATTGGCTGTCTTAAAAATACAGAGGATAATTCTTTCTTCCCTAACTTTATTTTCCTCTCATGTTTCTACTCCTCTTCTGAGTCTGTTTTTCTCTTTTAGGTGGACCAAAAAATGAAAAAAAAAAAAAGAGGAAAATAATTTACAAAAAGTAAAATTTAACATTTTTTTCTTTATCCATTGCATATTCACTCTGAGGAAATAATCATCCCAACCATGGCCTTGGTAATCAGCCAAGGATAACAAGACACTATTCATTTACATCTAAATTTACCTCCTTATTTCATTTGCCATTTGTACCATGCCTTCCTTTGGCTCACTAATTTAGTACAAATTTTCCACTCCAATGTTTCATAACAAAAATTAAACCAATTGAAACCTTTTTGAAAATGGCCCTCCAACGTGATATCATCATTAAGAAGATACTCTGAGGACAACAGAATTATTGCTTGATTGCTCAAATGCAATTAAAGATGTGATAGGAACAATTAACACATCTCCAGCATTGAGATGACAGGAAATGTTGATCAGTTTCAAATCAGTTGATCTGTAAAGACTGCAGGAAGAATCTAGTAATTTTAGGTGTTCTGGCTGTGATTTTTGCCAGCAGACAGCCTCCAGCCTAGGATTAAGTTCATGCCAGTTCCTGTTCTTCAAGGCCATTCCTTAAACTTCTCCACTCTTTAGATTTTTATCTGCTTGACCTTTAATACTTTCCAGGTTTTTCAAGCTCATCTGAACGCAAACCATTGCCTGCTCTGGCATCTGATATCCACACACAGGCCTTTTAGATCTGCCTAAAACTACTGTTCTCCTATCCACATCCTATAAAGGTTTCCACTGACCTTGTCTTCAAATCAATAAAAAGGCAATTTTTTTTTAAAAAACTTGAATTTTCTTCTCCAAATGGAAACAAAGGGAATGGAATACCACTGGATTTGTTTGAGACCCACTGAAATAACTGCCGTTTCTGATCTAATCTAGCTATATATAAAAACATTATCTCAGTGTGTTTTCATGGCATTAATTTCATGAAAGACAAGCAATAGAATAGTGTAACTTTAGGATCCTGTACTACTCAACACAGAAAGTATTTTCCACTTATCAAGGTTCTTCCCAATATACACTTACCTCCTAACTTTGGTTGCTGACAGAACGTTATTTTTTCTAAGAAAGAAAGAAACAGTCCTAACTCCATAGTATTCTATTAGATTGCTGTAATTTAGCAGGCAATATAGCTTAGTGATTAAAAGCCTAGGTCTTAGAAGCAGATATCCTCAGTTTGAATCCTGGCTCACTCACTAGCTCTGGAAAAATTTATCCATGCTCTTATCATCTTCTGTATTCTCACCTTTTAGCATATCTTGCAACTCCTTTGGGGAATGAATTTGATCCCTCATTTTTCTTCATACCACTCCTCAGAATTAAAAACTTTAAGCAACTTTCCCAAGATCACTCAGCTAGTAAGTAGCAAAAGCAAGATTCTACCCAAAGCTTTCAGTTCCATGCTTTAACTATTAAGCAATGCTACTTTTATTGTCTTATTTAATCATCACCAACCGCCTTGTGAGGTATCATCATCATTAGTTTATCAATATGAAGCTGAGAGGGAACAAGCTTAAATAACTTGTCGAATATCTTTTTTAGGACACTAATACAATCATATAACCTCCAAATCCACACTCTGGTACCCTGGGAAATCTGAGAATATCAAGCAAACCTCTCCACTCACCCCTATCTCAGTATATTTTTTTCACACATTTCTTCTTCCCACCTGTCTTCAAAAAAAATTGTGATTGCCCTTGCGCACCATTCTCTAGCTCTCTCCCCCATCTTCTCCCCTACTTTTCTTTTCAAGAATAACCTCTCCTTCTATGCGCTTGATCTCAAGACCCCAACTCATCTTCAGTTATTCCTTCCTTATATTTTGAGTCCCTTTCAAGAGCCTACTATGAGCCAGGTACTGTGCTTGGCAATGGTAATGGAGTGAGAACAAAACAGAGATCATCCCTGCCCGCTTCACAGGGCTCACAGCTGAGAGGGACTGATGAATATTAACCAAATAAGCATATAAATATATAGCTGCAATGTGGATGTATGTAGTGAATAAAAAGAGTTGGTAGTTAAATACAGGTTGACCAGGCGGAGGTCTGAACTGGGTGCAAAATCAAGACGGTTAAAAGTAAAGCAGCCAAATAAGCTCCAGGGAATTCACAGGATTTTCAGGGAAGGCTTTGGATTTTCATCGGATGTGGAGTTGAGAGTTTGCAGCAATCTTATCCAGACCTTATCTTCCCAGATAGACTTGAATAGGCATCAGGGTTATAATTATATGGAACTTACAGCTGGAAGTAGAAAGACAGTGAAATCTGAAAATGAGCCTAAGGGAAGAGAGGGACTTTACCTTCAAGATAATACAGTTAAGGAGCCCCACCTGGTGAGACATAGTAAACTGCCTGAAATATAGGAAAGAGGTCTGTGCCAAGGGAAGAGGAATATATATTGCATTTATCTATAGAACGGGAGTAGAGGAAAATCAGACCTTGCCACAGAATTACTAAAATTACATTGTAGAACCATTGGTGAACTCATAGCTGTGTTAAATATGAAAGATGTCTGCTACCCACAGACTGAGAGTATGATGACCAACCCAAATAATGATGCAGAGAATGATTTAAAGTACATTAAATCTTTTAATGGAGTGCTTGTGGTATAAACAGGTATTTTTATTTTTGGTTGCAGCCTAAAGCTTTCAGGAAAGAACCTACAGTGTAAGGGTTACTTTAGTTCAGTATGAATTATGGTGAAAGAAAACTGTGTGACCTCGAAAAACACAG